TGCCCCCCGGACCCCCCCGGCCCTTCACCCCCCGCCGCTCGTGACACCTCGGAAACGATTTCAAATCAACGGGGGGGAAATGGAGAGAAATCGGCGGCGGCGGCGACGGATTTCGAGGGCGGTGGCGGGTTTTTCCCGGCGGAGAGTTTTGGCGGAGGAAAATTTCCAGGAAAATTTTTTGCGGTGAAATTTCCAGTGAATTTTCTGGTGAAATTTTCAGTGAATTTTTCCAGTAAAAGTTTCATGGTAAAATTTCTCAGTGAAATTTTAAGGTGAAATTTTCCAGCAAAATTTTACAGTGAATTTTCCAGTGAAGTTTCACAGTAAAATTTCCAGCAAAATTTCGAGGTGAAATTTTCCAGCAAAATTTTACAGTGAATTTTCCAGTGAAGTTTCACAGTGAAATTTCCAGCAAATTTTCACAGTAAAATTCTAGCAAATTTTCACAGTGAAATTTCCAGAAGAATTTTTCTGGTGAAATTTTACAGTGAATTTTCCAGCCAAAATTTCTCAGTGAAATCTCACAGTAAAATTTCCAGCAAAATTTCGAGGTGAAATTTTCCAGCAAAATTTTGCGGTGAAATTTCCAACAAATTTTCACAGTGAAATTTCCAGCAAATTTTCACGGTAAAATTTCCAGACAATTTTTCTAGTGAAATTTCGCAGTGAATTTTCCAGCAAAAATTTTACAGTGAAATTTCACACTGAATTTTCCTGGGAAATTTCGCAGTGAAATTTCACAGCAAATCTTCCAGCTAATTTTCCAGTGAAATTTCCAGCAAAATTTTGCGGTGAAATTTCCAGCGAATCTTCACGTTGAAATTTTCTCAGGGAATTTTCACAACAAAATTTCCAGTGAAATTTTCCGGAGAATTTTTTGCATCGAAATTTTCTCGCTGAATCTTCACAATGAAATTTCCAGTGGAAAAAAAATCACCTGGGAGAGAATTTTCCCCGTGAAACTTTTTCAGGTGAAATTTTCTGAGGAACTTTTAACGACAAAAATTTACCGGCAAAAAAATTTTCCGGGGAATGATTGCGACGAAATTTCCAGGCAAAATTTTGCGCGGTGAAATTTTTCTTTGTTTTGCGGCGGGATTTCCCGGCGATTTTGGGGGGGGAGCGGTGAGGGGGGAGCGGCGCCTCCGGCTGTTTTATTAGTAGAATAAAAACAAAACTGGGGAGTTTTCCAATTATTTGGGGTTTTTTTAAGGGCGGGGCTCGCAAATTTGGCGGCACCGGATAAAATGGCGGCACCGGGGCGGGGGGGGGGTTCACCGGTAAAAATTGACCAAATTTCTTATTTTTTG